CGCCCCTGCCGTTAATCGACCGCTTCCGTGTTGCTCGCTTCTTCTTTCCGTTTTCTTTCTTACTTTCCTTTCTCCTCTTTTCTGTATTTCCTTTCCTTTTCGAAAATCGATAGAGAGTGTATCGCTAGGCAAGATCGCCGGTCGGCCAACTTTTAATTAAAAGCCGTAAAGTATACGGCGTAACTGCAGTTACACAACGACTCCCGGCAATCGGAAGTCGACCCGAAAATCGATAGTTGCCCGCAACTTGCCTTTCGCGGGCGTCGACTTAATTGCACAGAGAGTTCGCCTCGAGATCGACTTGTCGCGACACCACGGCTACGTTCAATATGGTCTTTCTCCTGTTCCCGATGTCAAGAATTTCCAACCGACTGCCTCCTCCTCGGGACTGATGCCTCTGATACCTGGACCAGGCACCGAGTTTGCTAATTTCGGCGATCGAGATCTCCTGTTGGGATTGACGTCCGAGGAAGCTTGGATAAACCTCACCGACGACGATCTACAGGTAAGTCGGAAGCGTAAGTGGGTCGATCGAACGTGTGCGTGGCATTTACTTATTCAACACGAACGAAGCCTCCGAGTCTGTTCGTTACAGCTTATTCGCTTTGACCAGCTCGGTCGGAAATCGTGGTCGATACGTCCTATCCTGAGGTGTTTGAGGTTTCTTGAGCTGAGATTATGGTCATCCAACGCGATTGCAACGGAGAACTCGAATGGAAGTGTTTGAATAATTTTTTGCAGGAAATTGTCGACGATATCGTTCCATGTTACGCGTAATTTTCAAGATCGATCCACGTTAAACGATGTCGTTATTATTTAACACGTCCTCGTGTTTCGTTTTGCTGCGCAGATGAAAATGAAAATTGTATTTTAATAGAATTATCGTAATATCGCTATATGCGTTTGCTATATGCATTCTGGTAGAAAAATGACTGTAATTTTGTTAGACTAGACATATCATTCTACGTATTTCTTTCTTAATTTGCGCGTCGAATTTGGTCAGGCTGTGGGATCTACGTTCAATTATTTTTAATCGTGATAACGGGTTTGACGAGACGCGAACGGGTTTACGTGCAGCCGGCACGCACCGATAATTGACACGAACTCGATAAATTATTAATTAGCGAACGCGTATTGTCGCGAAATGCGGCCGGCGATTCGCGTCGAATATTATCGACGATCCGACGGTTACGGTCGATGGATAGTTCGCTAAAGCGTACTTCCGCGGCTCCTTGACAATTTCATAACGATCGAATGTTTCACGGTGCCGTTTCGATCGTTCGTTTACGTGTAAAGTCTAGCACAGACTCTGTACCAGTCGCAGCGTTTGTCATTTTGAAAATTCGCTTAATACGTATTTCTAATACCCCTTTTGTATGTATATATATATGTATAT